AGATTTGTGTTTGCAGATAAGACAAGAAAACCGACCAGCAGACAAACTAGCAGACATTAGTATGTTGGGACAGGAAACTTTCTGACCCAGAGGAAGATGCAACACTGCACAGCTCCGGTGGTGGCTACTTGGAAAATTACCTTTCCAGATGGGAGAAGCAACTGACTGCTTTACAGGCCTACACAAACAACTCCCAATACATAGCAAAGTTAAGAATTACCTAGGCTGATGGGAAATGCTGGCAGAACACACGACTAGTTAAAGAGGGAAACCATCACCTGCTGAAAGTATGGTGAAAAACAACAGGGGGAATGGTAAGTTTGCTCTCATTCTGGAAGAAACTAGAAAAACAAATATTAGAACTCAGCTTAGCTTAAGTGTAGTAATTTTTGAAGCATTTAAAGGATTAACTGCGCACTTTTATATGTAACATCACTCACTCATTGCCTTCAAGTAGGAACCAATCCCTAGCTGACCCACCATCAGGTTTTCAAAGGCTGCAAACTGCGTGGAAGATATGGTCCATCTGTTTTCAGTGGATCAGTCGATGAGTTGACAGTGCAACTCCCTACCCCTAGATCATTTGAGCTGGGTTTATAAAACATCAGTACTATCAAGAGCATTAATAAGAATTCATTTAAGTGCATTAATAAGAATTCATTTAAGTTCAAACTATTACTCTTTTATAAGTAAACCAGTATAAAATAAAAATTCTATTAAAAACCACAAAAGAACTATTACTCTAACACATAATTTACTTTGGTTGGGGGGGAATAGGGAACTTAAGAAATGCAGCAGCAAATGGGCAAAGTTACAAGATAGCTTTAAAATCTGGTCATCGAAGAGACCAATCCCCCCCCCATTTTAGAAGTCCACTTTATTATAATAAAAGCATGAAATTCCACATGACATACTCTACCTTATAGGGAGCACTCGGGTTCAGTTGTGCACATATGTTCTCAGCTATTGTTCAGCTACTTTGAAGAGTTATGACCCAAAGTAGTGAAATCTTCTTTGATGCAACTATTATGCTTTTTTTATTACATTTTATTAATTTTAATAAACATTTACAGAGATTTTGGATTTCCATTCATTATTGTGTTATTTTCTCTACCCCTACTGCTCCTACTACTGTTTACTATTTTCTACAGTGAAATTTACAAATACTACATATTACTATATGGAAGAACTCTTCATTGTGCTCACATGGAGTGCGGATAATCCAAAAGGCAGTAGTTCGGACAGATAAAAAGAGATACTACTGCATGTTTTAAAGTCAGGAAAAGTCCAAGTTAGGGTTAATACACTTTTACCACATTTACTCAATCTGTATGTTGAGAAAATTATCTGAGAAACTGGACTATAAGAACAACACAACATCAGGACTGGACTCAGCAATCTACAGTATGTGGGTGACATAACTTTGCTTGTTTAAAGTGAAAAATCTGAAGCATTGACTGATAAAACTCAGACTACAGCATTCATTATGGATTATACCTCAACATCAACAAAAATCCTCGAAAAGCTTGACTGATAATATCATGATGAATGGAGAAAAGACTGAAGTTGGCAAGGAGCTTCAGTCAATAAATTAAACAACCTAATGCATCTATCTGATAAATGTTCTGTAAAAAAAATATTTTAAAGTATTAAAAATCCTATCTTTCACTTCCAGAACTAAAGTGCATCTAATTCAAGTCATAGTATTTTCAATTGCCTCATATGCACGCCAAATCTGGGCAATGAAAAGCAGACCAAAAAAGAATGAATGCCTTTCAATTATGGTTTTGGTGAAGAATGTTGACTATACAAAGAAAAGAGCAAACAAATCTGTATTTGAAGTACAATGAGAGTGTTCCACAGATGCCAAGGATGATGCAACTTTGTCTTATATACTTTGGACATGTTAACAAGTGTGAGCTAGTCTTTGGAGAAGGTTATCATGTTTGGTTATGTAGAGGTGCAGGCAAAAAGAGGAAGATACTCTGTGAGACAGACTGACGTAGTGGCTACAACAATGGGCTCAAATAAAGCAAGAATTTTAACCACAGACCAGACTGTGTTTTTTGTTCTGTTGTACACAGGATCACTCTGAGTCAGAACCAACTTAATGGGATTAACAATAACACTAATTTTTCCAGATAAAGTTAACTACTGAATCTGTGTGTGGCTTGAACAAATGTCATAACTGAGTCAGGTAGGTAATAGTAATTTCAAAGGGGAGTGGAGGAGAATAAAATGAAAAATGACAAGTTCTTTCATGTTAACATTTTATTTAAACCAGTACAAGCACCATGCTGAACAAAAGACTGTCTAAAATAAACATGCAATATGAACTAGCAGAGACTGAAACCACAGCATAAATTGTCCCAGTTGTTGATTTTGCTAAACATTGACAAGGAACTGTTAAAATTCACAAGACGAACCATTAATGTTTCAAGCCTCCTGAATGAGATTATATTGGACCATTGAAATTAGTGGGAATTGCCCTGGCATGTTAGTGATTTTAAACAATATTCAAGTAATTACATGTACATGAACTATATAAAGGAATAAAAATTAAAAGTTTAAAACTTAATACAGATGTTTTAAACAGAGAAATATGATTGTTGATTGGAAATGTCAAATGGCACAATAAGAAACAAATTTCTCAAGAATATTCAACTTGGGACCATTGGTTTTTAAGTGGCCCAGAAGATTATTTACATTCTTGTAGAAATACAATGTAAAATTTGACAGGAAATGTTTGAGACATTCCTTCACTTAAGTTGTAAAGGCTCAAAGTTTCTAAGATTCCAGTATTACCAGTCTATTGAACAAACAGGGATAGTCACTGTACCAAGAATATCTGAATTGAAAGAATGAGTTACTCTCTACTTCCACCGAATATCAGCATTTAAACTCTTAGGTAAATACCTATTCATCACTAGTCCACAATATGGATTAATGATACTCCTCGGGTTTTAAAAGTAGTCCACACAGTTTATTTTTTAAGTATGCCTTCCTATCTATACGGATGTGGTATTAGGGATAATAGCCAAATTTAATTTGGCAATAAACTCCCCTAACTGGAAATTTTTAGTTAAATGTCAGACCAGGATACAGTTTATGGCTACATTTGACTCCTGAAAATAGGAGACAAAATGGGAAAGTGCTGACAGACATTTTGCTACAAAGATTATTTAGCAAGGACAATAAAAAATTTAGCAACACCCTCTTAAACAAGAGTATGTTTAACTGCAGTAGGCATTTAGTAAACTTTTTAGAAACAGACAATTTGAACATTTTAGAAGTCAATTAAACAAAAACAGTCAACCAACTTTTTACCTAACACAATTGCTTCAATACCAGAATAAAGTGAGTATTATTCAAAACTTAGACATCATTTTGGAATTTCAGCATAGTAACCTGAGAACAATGTTGGGTTTTTTTTCCCCCACAAGTAATTTCTGTTGCCATAAAAACCATACTGAAACACAGTGTGGTTACTAGCTGGCTCTATTTGATAACATTAGACATTATGCAGAATTTATGCAAGGACAACAATTTCAAAACTAATGCCGATTAAGAAGATCATGAAGGAGGTTCCCAGGATCAAAAGCTGCCACCAAAAGGAAAGACTACGATTTAGAACTGAATGGAAAAAGTTCGTACCCGGAAGATATGGAATGTAAGAACAGGAATTATGAAATCTGGCATTACAATTCAAGACAAGGAAGAAAACAGATGAAACAGAAAATATACTCAAAAGAATGTAATTTGGTCAGATAAAAAGAAAATATATATAAAATTTGAGAATACAGAGTGAAATTTGTAAATCTTTCTTTAGGACATTTAGTAGAATACAGAGAAGCAAAAAAACAAAAACAAAACAAAACCCCTATTCTACTGATTCCCGAACCTTAATTTGTTGTCTTGCAAAATACATATTACTGATAAAGACAGAGGTTAAAAAAAAAACAAAAAACAACCCATGATTTATTACAGCTCTTTTTTCCCTTTTAGATAACAGTGAAACCAAGAGCTCTGTGTATGGCAGGTCAATTATTATCTCACATTATGGAGGACAGGGATTTCAAAACAAGTAACAGAAAACTCATGCAAATAAGGAACCTCATTAAAAAAATACATTCTTTTAGCACTAGTCAGTTTCTCTTATTGCTATGAACCAGGTGAAATAAAATCTTCTTTCACTCAAAACATTAAACACACTCTCCATTCATTTGGATTTCATTTGCTTTTCTATAGAATTCTAAGCAAGTTCTTTTCCGTATCAAAATACCTGTTTAAAGAATTCATAAGCTTCCTGTGAAGTTTTCTCTATCTCTGGAAATTGGAATAAAAACTCATTTCCATACATTAATGAAAACAAAGACTTTATCACCACTTTCTCATCTCTAACTAACTTCCAATTGCTTTCCTATTTCTAGATTGGTGAGTCAAATAATAAGCTATAAATCTTGGATACACAAGATGCTCTCTTCTATTGTGAAAATTCCAACCATTTTCACCTCTGGATTAAAATTGGCACAAAAACCTCAAAAAGGACACAAAGAATGTATGAATGGAAAATACGGCAACATTAAAAATAAAAAAAGCTTAAAAAGGCTTTGCTAGCTTGGAAATAACTAAAATATTCTTACCATAAGAATTCATCCACCAATTTTTGAGCCTCTAGATATTCTGTCAAATTAATGTTAGTTATTTATATTTTGCTTGTAAAAATATGCTATGTATTAGAATTCTTACTTTAGGCAAAGGATGACATAATTTAATATGACTAATTAATTATTCAGGGGTCCAATTCAGGATATCACTTAACATTTAGAATGTAAGATGCAAATTCTATTGATGTGTTAAATGTTACTAACTATTGCCAACATTTAAGAATAATCACTTTCTCCTTATGGCACAAATTTAATCACAAAAATAACTAAAATGAGAACTCACAACTGCCATGTCCACCAATGCATGCAGATAGCTGGAATTGGAATTTTAAAAATATGAAGTTGGTTTCATTACAAATCGCAGATACATATGTTATAAAATTATTTTACTTGGACCCTTTACAAATGTAATCATCTTACCAAATGTGGAATACTGGCAGTGTAAAAGTCATAACCTAACTTTAAAGCTAACAAATCAAAGGCACAGTATTAACACATTTAAAATAACTAGTGTTTATGGGACAAAATTAAGAGATGCTTTATAAATAAAATGTTATTAACCTAGGTTCAAAATGATCTAGAAATTATATCATTGAAATGAAGCCCTTGATTAGTTCTAACTCATTAATTTTTGTAAGATGCTAGCAAGATAACCTAACAGTCACAGTCAATCTTTATCATAAAATCTAAACTTCCAGACTTTAAGAATGATTGATAAACATAGTTTCTGGACTTGGTTAAAAAGATTTAGGAAACCAAAGAAGGTTTGATGAAAACTGTACTCAAAATTCAGGCTACACGACATTATTATTCATGGCTCAAAATTAGGTCACTCAAGTCTTTAACCTCAAATTAATCTCAAAGATTTGACAAGTGATAGCATTATTTTCATTTATCAACAGCTATTATCCAGTATCTGTCAAAAGGAGGCAACTGTTGTCTATAACACTCTAATGTCCACTTTGCAATGGTGTCTGTAAATAGTAACAAATTCTGAACCATAAGTTATAGAAATTAGTCACAAGAGTGCAAAAAAGTCCCTGGAGAGAAGTAGTCCACCTAACAATTACAAATATAAGGAAACACTTTACAAAGTTTCATTACTAGGAAGATAATTTCCTCTTTGTTCATACTTTGCACAAATGAAGATTTTTCTTTACTGCAGGAACAAACTGTAAGTAACAGTGCATTTTAGGCATAAATAAGTATTTATGTCTGATTCCAGTATGGTCAGGCTAATACATAAATACTTTAGAAACACAGAAGTTCACATTAGTGGAAAAATCCAAGTTTTTCACGTAACCATTCTTCAGTTAAGTCTTCAGTATTTCTTATTTCAAATACCTTAGGGTAAAAAAAAAAGGGGGGGGGCAAACATCCTCCGGTTAGAATAGACATTTAAAAAGTAAGTATCAAATATATTATTTAAGTATTAAATACCAAATTACACTTCCTTCATACACATACACACAGTCACATTTTAACCTATATAAATTAGATATACCTTTTAGAGTTACTTTATTTCTTTTAAATGCAAAGTACTCAGTTATCAGAGTTTAGCAATCAAAACTGTGTGAAATAAAAATTCTCATAAAAGCACAAACTTACAATTATTCTATAAGTGTTCTAAAAGAGTAGTATGAGTATCAGAAGGAAAAAGAACACCCTAAGACTATACTGCTAAAATCATTTAGTCAAGAGGCACTGGGAGAATTTACAGAGCTGCTACTTGGTTTGAGTTCAACTGCAAACATAAGCTGCACTCTTTTGATTGAGGATGGAGTGGAAGTCCACAGCCACCAGTCCTCGGGCAAGAATCTGAAACTAGCACAGAGGTTCTGAAAGTGTAATGACCATACGTGAGAGAAATACAGCAGAAAGAAGAGGATTAGGGGTTAGAAGATGGACATTTAAATACTAGCCCTGCCACTCAATTTTCTCCAATCTTGAATTTTCTGAACTTCAGTTTTCTTATTTATATAATGAGGACACCACCAATAACCTCCTAGTTTGTAAAATTAACAAGCTCTTGTTTGTAAAAGAGTATCTGTAAAAGTAACTGGGAGATTGTAATGTTTCAGCTCTGGCCCTTTAGGATGAGCCAGGAGCAAAACAGATAGGCTGATTCCAGGTGACTTCCTCATCAGCAATATTATTAGGGCAGCTCTAAGTGTGTTCAGATTGTATAGACTATAAAAGCGTAGCATCTATAAATTAGTGGTATCAATGACAGTCACATGGGGAAAAGTAGAGAGTAAAGACAACCCTTGAGTTGGATGTTTTTCCCCCCAAACACTGATACTGTCATTAAAATAAAACCTGAAAGGAAATATTGTTTGGTACTGTTTTGAAGATGTAATAGTCTATTTAAAACCATAAGTGAATATACACCTACAACTCAAATTATCATGGAAAAATGAAATAAAGTTTGAAAGTAGGTACTGCTCTCACTTTTAATCTTCAATAACACCATTAAACAAAGAGGAAACATTAAATCTTAAAGCCAGTATTTCATATGAAATAAAATGTCATAGCTTTATTATCTTTCTTGACATTTTCAATAATTTTATATTTAGAAACCATATAGTTAACTGTACAATATGGAACTCCTGTGCAGACAGAACATGACTGACTGAGTCGAAGGTAAAGAGGTCATGACAAGATTCTATGTCGAACTTTATATAACAGAAATTATGTTATGAAAGAGAAATACCAATGAATGACTGAATAATGATACTGGCCTTCTAATGCTTAAATTTTGAATGGAAGTAATCTTCTATTCAGTTTATAATTTCCAATTAAAAAACACTTTTTGATATAAAGACTTCTATTGTCCTATTTCACCAAATAAAAAGCTTTGATTAATTTACTATTTGGGTCTAAATTGCTTCCAACTAGTAGCTAATTATCAGAAGAATAAAGTTTTGGACTATAAATTTTTTTTTCCTTCTTAATATTTAAGGATAAAATTATCACACAAGCATATTAAATATAAACATTACCTTGGTTAGCTCAGCTGTTTGGACTAGCTTATTCTTACTCCCAGCATACATCATCTGTTGTTCAGGTTTACACCCTGGCATGGAAATTAGACACAGATTTTGAAAAAGTGACAAACTTTCATTATTTACCTTATAAAACAGATGCAATTACGATATCCTTTCCTACTGAACTTACAAAAAAACTCAACCTAAATTTTTATGGATTATGTTTTCAAAGTCTAATTAGGTGACTGCCAGCACAAAGGAACAGACCACCAATTACTCATATGCAAGTTCAAGCTGAAGCTGAGGAAAATTAAACCAACTCCACAGGAGCCAAAATATGACTTTGATTTCATACCACCTGAATTTCAGAATCATCTCAGGAACAGGTTTGAGGCCTTGAA